CCCCAAAACCCCAAAACCCCAAAACCCCGGGGATCATTGTAAATAATTATAAGTAAAAATTGAATTAAAATGTTAGACAAATGGTATATAATTCTATAATTCTACTTTGTAATAAATATTACAGCTACTTTGGAAAATTAAGACTAAATATCAGCATCTTGCAACGAATCATCTGAAATAGACTTATGCCAATTGAGTTAAGGAAGTAAAGATTTTAATAAGAATATGCAAAGAGTAGTTATACTTGCTCGAGAGTAAAAAGGTGGACTAGGAAATCAATTAATGAACTATGCAGCAGCTTATACTCTAGCTAAAAGAACAAATTCAAGGCTTTATTTAGTTGATGAAATGTATGGAAATGAGGAATAAAGGTAATACTCTGAAACTTCACGAGATTTTCTATTGGATAAGTTCGACTTAAAGTACGATAAAATAATTTCCCTAGAAGATTATAATGAATTTGACAACTCTGATGCAATCAAGCTTGGATTAGTAAATTATCATCCCTCAATAGTAAACAAAACAGAAAATATCATAATGAATGATTATTTCCTCCACTACAGATATTTTAAAGACTACTATTAGGAGATCTAAGAAATGATAAGATCCTAAGCTAAATTGTAGAAGTCAGATGAGTATTTATTTTGGGAAAATAAAATTAAAAAGAGTCTCGCAATTGCTGTACATTTAAGATTGGGGGATCTAGAAAATTATTATGGAGATGGCAATAGAAAGATATCAGTTTAATATTAGGTGAGAGCAATGCAATTTATAACTGAATTACTTCATCAGAGATCGATTGAAATGCCTCTCTTCTTTGTCTTTACTGACAGTAGTTTAATTGCAAGGCAATTTTTTTCAAACACTGCCAATGTCAAGATTGTTTCCAATGGAACTATGACGAGTATTGAGGAGTTTTATCTAATGATGAATTGTAAACATTTCATTATTCCAACTTCAACTTTCAGCTGGATGGCTGCTTATGTTTCAAATTCCAATGACAAAATAGTGATAGCCCCTGAATATGACTGGCCTAAACTATATGATTTTAAGACTTATCAGAAGCCTTCGTACAAGTTTGATGAAAGATTTTGGAGTCAAGATAAAATGGAAGGATGGTGGATTATTAATCCATTCTTAATCTCAGCTGATACTCCTAGACAAATTAAAAGAACTAATGTGAAGGTTAAAAGGTGATGTTTGGTAAAGCCTCGATATATTTTTTTAATTTGATATAATCTAGATTTTTTTAATTTTAAATATTTATTTTAGAGATTGATTGATGGGGTTTTGGGGTTTTGGGG